TTTGTGAATGGTTTGGAGAAATCTACTTGGATCAACTCATTGATTCTTGAGAGAAGACTCATTTTAAATCACATAGGTGACTTTGCGCTTGGAGAGGAGGGTCTCTGGGCACCAAGGACGAGGCTGAGCGGAGTCTGAAAGAGGTGGAACCAGAACTCCAGGCAGCGAATATTTCCCGATTAACTAGCTCAACGCCTGTTTGTTTGAGTGTCAGGAGGTTTCAATAAAAGAATGTTTTCCCCTTTTCATTCATTTGCAAATAACAATCCCCTGTAGATAGAAGATCTCGTCCTAATAAGTTAACTGGGGTACAAGGGCAGGTCCTCAAAACAATCTAAAGCAGGAGAGGCTGCAAGTATCTCACCCTCACCCACAAGTTTGAGATGTCTGTACTCTGGGGCAGAGATTGTGTAAACAAGTGGGGTTAATAGTAGATAAGGTCAATTGAAAGGATGCAGTTCTGCACGTGCATGGTTATTTCTCCTTGCAGGTCAAGTTGCCACCACAGGAAAAGTCCCTATTTTATCCCCATAAACCCCCTCATTCTCAATCAGGATCATTGCGAGGAACATCTTGTTTTGTAGTCTTTTTTTTTTTTTTAAGTTTAGAATGATCTTTCCCCAACATCTGTTTGTTTGTTTGTTTGGTTTTTAATGGCAAGAACCAGTCTGAGGCCCTTACAATACTTAGGGTTTCTCCTCTGTTTAAGAGAGGGTAACTTATTGCAGGGACATGAGTTTATTGGCCTTTAAGGCTTGTTTGGTCTCTAAGATTTGAGAAAGTTGATGAGCCAGGCTCATTAGTTTAACAATAGGAGTGGTTTAAAATCTTGCTTGTTGTTTCCCCTGAAGGCTCAAATTTTGGGCCTGCGGCCACCCAGATAAAAACACAGGGTTAAAAGCTCGGGAAGCATTCAGGGCTAATGGATTTGGTCTGGAATATTTAGAACGTTGTTGAAACACTCTGGTTGGGTAATCGAAAGCATTCTAATCTTTATTTTGGGAACAAGAATGAATTTTAGTACAATCTATTACTGGGGGCAAAACCTTAGTGATTTTAAAGCAAGTTTTTACCTACTGCTTGAGCGTCTTCAGGCAGTGTGGCAGCCTTTTCTTCCAGGCCAAAGTGAAATGATTTTTAGGATCTTTCCATTCAGCATGTTCTAATCATAATTGGGCTACTCCAGGGCCTGTGGATCATATGGACTAACTGGTATAACCCTGGAAGCCCAGATTGGTAAGTGTCAATAAGAATTTTAAAATGTTCAGCAATCTTTAAGGATCCTCACAGCATCTTGGGAAGTGCTCCACAATATTTCATAATTCTGTGTGAGTTCAAGGAATACAAATTTCCCAGTGTCACAAGAAGACTCTCTAGAACACGAGGACTTTGTTTGGAAAGGTGTCTCCAGAGCAAATGTGCATTTGTTCACAGGTTCTCCAGGGAAACAAGTAGGCCATGATGTAGTTCAGGCAAAGCAACAGACGAATTAGAGGGGTATGAAAAGTTAATTAAGTTAGCAGAAATGATACCCCTATAACTTATAGGGGTATCATTTCTGCTAAATTAATGACACTATCAATAGAACTACCTGATGCCCCAGGGGGATGATTGATTATGTTCTCTAACATAAAATGTCAAGGACGTCTCCCAGAGGAACCAGAGGCATATATAAACCATAAATATATGAATGGATTTGGGGCTTGCACTTAATTCTAGCCCCAATCTAAGAACAATTCTCCCCCCTCCCCTGGTATTCTCTGCTTTTATTTTATTATTATTTTAAAAAATAATTTTATTGGGGGCTCGTACAACTCTTATCACAATCCATATAGCCATTGTGTCAAGCACATTTGTACATTTGTTGCCATCATCATTTTCAAACCATTTTCTTTCTACTTGAGCCCTTGGTATCAGCTCATTTTCCTCCCTCCCTCCCCCCTACTCCCTTTCTCATGAACCCATGATAATTTATAAATTATTATTTTGTCATGTCTTACACTGACCGATGTCTCCCTTCACCCACTTTTGTGTTGTCTGACTTCCTGGGATGGGGTTATATGTAGATAATTGTGATCAGTTCCCCCTTTCTCTCCACACCTTCCCCTTTCCCTCCTGGTATTGCTACTCTCATTATTTGTCCTGAGAGGTTTATCTGTCCAGGATTCCCTGTGTTTCCAGCTCTTATCTGTACCCATGTACATGCTCTGGTCTAGCCAGATTTGTAAGATAGAATTGGGGTCATGATGGTGGTGCAGGGGTGTGTGTGGGGGGTGGGGTGCAGATGGTGCAGAGGACAGTTTCGTGTTTCATTGGTGCTATACTGGACTCTCATTGGCTTGTCTCATCCTTGTGACCCTTCTGTGAGGGGATGTCCAATTGTCCACAGATGGGCTTTGGGTCTCCACTCCACAATCCCCCTCATTCACACTGATATGATTTTTTGTTCTGGGCCTTTGATGCCTGATACTTGATCTCATTGACACCTCATGATCACACAGGCTGGTGTGCTTCTTCCATGTGGACTTTGTAGCTTCTCAGCTAGATGGCCGTTTGTTTATCTTCAACCCTTTAAAACCCTAGATGCTATATCTTTTGATAGCCAGGCACCATCAGCTTTCTTCACATTTGCTTATGCACCCATTTTGGCCGTTTGTTTATCTTCAACCCTTTAAAACCCTAGATGCTATATCTTTTGATAGCCAGGCACCATCAGCTTTCTTCACATTTGCTTATGCACCCATTTTGTCCTCAGTGATCCTGTTGGGAAGGTGAGCATCTCAGAATGCCAGATTAATCAGAACAGAGTGTTCTTGCATCAAGGGAGTAGAGGCCCAATGTCCGTCTGCTACTTTAATACTTAACATGTAAATATATGTACATAGGTCAATTTCCCTATCACTATATAAAAATATATTTACATACCCTATATACTTGAATATAAGCCGACCCAAATATCAGCTGAGGCACCTAATTTTACCACAAAAACGGCATTAAAAATATGCTGAAAAATTCGGCTTATATATGAGTATATACGGTATGTACATGTCTGTATTTATACCTCTATAAATGCCCATGTGCCTCCTAGAAGAACAGTTAATTCTTACAACATGGACCTGCTTGGTACCTGCCCTCGTGGAGAGATTACTGATGATATGAGTGCTAAGCACAGTGTGGTGGATATAAGCACAGTGTGGTGGATACAGTAAATGGAACCTGGCTACCAGAAGGAATAGGATCTGGAGTCTTAAAGGCTTGTCTTCAAACAAGCAGCCATCTAAGTGAGGCGTCAACTAAGTCCACATGGACAAAGCTGGCAGCTGACTGCCGTCAGGGAGGTAACTTGACAATCATTTATCATTAGCTGCAAGCAGTGTCCTAAGTCTAACATATATTTGGGGGGGACGACTTGGGAGAAATCTTTGTTTCCCACAATGAAGCCCAGGGGGAAGGAAGTGAGAATGGCAAGTTCAGTTAGCAGGCCCCAGTGCTTAGCCCAGTGTGGATCTTAGGGGAACGAGCAGCCTCTGCCAGGGCTCTGCACTGCTCAAGACAACACAGAAGTAGGAATTCAATGCGCGGTGCTTACTGAACACTTAGGATGTGCCAGGCCCAGGGCTAGGCTTAGGAATCCAATTATAAATAAGATGTATGTCTGTAAAGACTCAATGTGAAGAAGACCAAAATCCTCACAACTGGATTGATAGGTAGCATCACGATAAATGGAGAAGTGGTTGAAGTTGTCAAGGATTTTATCTGCCTTGGATCCACAACCGATGCTCATGGCAGCAGCAGCTAAGAGCTCAAAAGATGCACTGCATTAGGTACATTTGCTGCACATGGCCTCTTTAGTGTAGCCAAGGGCAAGGGTGTTACTTTGAGGACTAAGGTGCACCTGACCCAAGCCATGGCATTTTAAATTGCCTACTATGCCGGTGACACGTGGGCATTGAATAAGGAAGAATGAAGAATTGATGCACCTGAATTATGATGTTGGCAAAGAATATTAAATATACCATGATTGCCAGAAGAACGAACAAATCTGTGTCGGAAACAGTCAAGCCAGAATGCTCCTTAGAAGTGAGGATGGGAAAAAAAGAAGTGAGGATAGTGAAACTTGGTTTATGTACTTGGGACATGGCATCGGAGAGACCGGTCGTGATTGGTAGAGGGTCAGTGAACAAGAGGAAGACCCTCAGCGAGGCGAGTTGGCAAGCGTGGCTGAAACAGCGGGCTCACACACAGACAAGCATGGAGGAGCTGGTGTGGGGTCAGGCGGACTTTTGTTCTGTTGCAGAGGTTGCTCTAAGCTGGAACCACTCACTGGCCCCCAACAAGGTGCTGCTGGAACGGTCCTTTTAATTAACGACCCCCTTAGATTTATTTGGTTTGTCCATGAAAGCTGTATCCCGCCTAAACTGCTCCCAGGAGGGCATAGAGAGTGAAAATGTGCAGTCATAGGAGGAAGGAATCGAAGTCTTTGGGTTACCAGGGGACCCAAATGGTCAAACACCATTTTCAGGTAGATAAAAACAGAGAAACCTTGTACGAGGTCAAGACACTATGGGCAGAAGGGGTTTGGGGAAAGGTGGTGTTTTTTTTATGCTTTATGGAGATTTATTTGTATTAGTCATGTTTAAATCTTATTCCGTGATCATCCATCCAGCTGTCTTTCAGTAGGGAGTTGGATGGCTGCACGGTTGTGATCATCACAAATTCTCCAGTTCTCCAAACTTTCTTGGAAAGGAGGCTTTTAAGGTAATCATATTATATATTTTTAACTTGTGGAGCTTGAGAAGAAGAAATCTTCTAGATAGGAGAGAGATTTTTCAGATGTTGGCATAGGTATAAAGTACATCAGTCTAAACATGAGGTCCAATAATGAAAAAAATATATTCAGAAACAAAAGGGCACAAGCATGCATCTACTATAGAGTCTATCTTGAACACTAAACCCTCTACCCCAAAGCCACATCTCCCCAAAGTGAAACCAGACTGTTCTTTATAATGGTTCAACACATTGTTTATTTTACTGGTCTTGAGGCATTACGAGATATTATAAGCTTATTCTGAATCTATTAAATTGTCGGAAGTGACTCCGTTCTTTAAACATCTGAATTCACTAAACCTATTCCAAGGGTTACAATTATTAGTCACAATGTTTCTCCTTTAATTATATTTGGCACAGTGGCATCACTAGCAGGGGAAGGTGGTGTATACTGCAGCCAACACTGTCAGTGTGATATCAAATGACTCCGGCGGCAGATGGACCAGCACTACAGGGGCAGGGGACGCCAAGGCAGTGGCATCACTAGGGTTGGTATCACCTATCACCCAGCTTGGTTAAGTCCTCATCACCAACCTTCCCATCTCACCCTTCAGGGTGTGGTTGGCTGGCTGGCTCTGCTCACTCTGTGCGCCTGGGTGTGAAACCATAAATGACTGCACCAGATGACACTAACTGGTGACACCACCACTTTGGATGCAACAGTTCAGCTATACAAAAGGCCTGGCCAGTATGGTTTCCTGGGACCTGAGGTATGGTGAGTTTTCAAAATGCGAGCAAGGCGCTCACTGAGGCCCTGGTTCCTCAGGGACTCCTTGATGCTGAGAGGAGGCAAAAGCCACCAACACAGTTTATATTGTAATGACTAGGTTTCTTCTTTGCATTTATATTCTAAAAATAAAATGTAAAAAGGTGTATACTAGACAGTTATAGTATTTCCCCCTCTCCGGTGTGGACTCTCTGATGTTTGGAAAGATTAGACTTACTACAGAAGGCTTTCCCACAATTATTACACCAATAGGGCTTTTCCCCAGTATGGATTCTATGGTGTTTATTAAAATTTGAGCTGTGGTTGAAGGCCCTACCACATTCCCTACACTTATAGGGCTTCTCGCCAGTGTGGAGTCTCTGATGTGAACTGAGCCCTGCGTGCTGACTAAAGCGCTTCCCACATTCCTTACACTGATAAGGCTTTTCCCCGGTGTGTGTTCGATAATGACGAACGAGGCTGGCTTTACCGCTGAAAGATTTCCCACAATCTTTACACTGATACGGTGCCTCTCCAGTGTGGCTTCTCTGATGTTTGAGGAGATCGGAGCTCTGACTGAAGGCTTTCCCACACTTGCCGCAGTCGTAGGGGCGGTCCACCATGTGGGTTCTGTAATGAAGGGTGAGGTTTGAGCTGTGGCTGAAAGCTCTCCCACATTTGGTGCACACGTAAGGCTTCTCCCCAGTGTGTGTTCTCCGGTGTTTAGTAAGATTTGAGCTGTTGCTAAAGCTTTTCCCACACTCGGCGCATATATAGCGTTTCTCTCTCGTGTTAAGATTCACAGGGGTTAATTCAGTGACTTCCGTGGGACCTAGGTCTTGGAGAGGTCTGGCTCCTCTTTCCCTTTCAAGGGTTGCCCACTGCCTTTCTAAGCTGGCCTCATACTGGTCATCCACAATCATGGGGATGACAGAGTCTTCTTCAGACCTGTGCTGCTTATCTGTTGACTCCTCATTCTGGGCGTTCGATTTATAATCTGAAACAACAAACGGGATAGAGATGTTTGCGGTTTTCTGCTATGAGGAAAATCTGTTAAAGGAGAAATAGGATCAACAGATGAGAACAATCAATTCTGAAGTGATTAAATACAGCTCTGTGAGAGGTCACACTATCCCACATCATATATATCACATACAATATATAAATATATATACATGATCTATGTTGTGTGTGTATAATACATATATATATACATAAACTCTCACTATACTGTATTTTCTTTTTAAATTTTATTTTAAAAATCATCTTATTAGGGGCTTATACAACTCTTATCACAATCCATACATCCATCCATTGTGTAAAGCACATTTGTACATTCATTACCCTCATCGTTCTCAAAACATTGGCTCTCCACCCAAGCCCCTGGCATCAGCTCCTCGTTTTTAACCCACTCCCTCATGAGCCCTTGATAATTTATAAATTATTA